GAATAGTAGTTTTAGTGGAAATTCCAAGTTCTGAAGCCCTGCTTGCCCGTGGTTGGACACCAGAGGAAGATTCCTCCACTTTGGCAATCACTTATGGAGCAGATTTTTGCCAGTAGTAGCAAGGGCTTTAAGTGGACTAGTAATACAATTTTTCAAAGTGTAAAACTTAGCTTTTTGACTTGGGTTTTTTTTTTCTTAGCAGCAGTTTTTTGTTCAATAGCTTTTGTGAAAAACTGTTTTTAGTTTCAGCACAGGAGATCTTGCAAAAACACATAAGGCCAACAATGGTTACAGTTGCCAGCCCTGTACTAGCAACATCCTAAAGTCATGATTTATGAAGCATAAGCACAGAGCCATTCAAATGATCATAATGTTCTCCCACAACTAGGGAACTACAGAAGTGTCAGCGTAAGTCATTCACCCACTTGTACAAGAAAGGGAACTTCAACCTAGAAGCAAATTGGAACCAGCTCTATCCATCAAGACCTAACTAGAATTTAACTTTAGTCCCTACTTTAGAGAGAGAGGCAAACACTCATTTTCTCCACTAGGCTGCTCTCAAACTTCTCTAAAGTATGGAGTTCTTAAACTTTCACAGCATGGAGATCACATTTTAATAGAGATGTAGGTTACTGCCAGATACCAAATTTAGGCTCCAGTCCTGCAACTTGCTCTGCAAGATCAGACACTTATCCTCAGGTCCACTAAAGTCAATGGTGCATGGGTTTGTCTGCAGATTAGGTTTTAGCCTCGGTTCCAATCCTATGTCCACACTATCCAGCTTTTAGCAACAGGGCTGTGCTGCTACAGCCATGCAGCTAAAAAGCACACACTGTAGCTGCTGTTTGTCTGCAGGAGAGAGCTCTCCTGCTGACAAACTTCCACCCACAATGAGCTGCGTTAGCGTTGGCAACAAAGCACTGTTCATGCCAGCGCTTCTCGGCAAAACTCGTCTTTCAGGGTGTGTGGATGTGTTTAACACCTTTGAATAACAAAAGTTTTGTTTTTCACTTGCCAGTGTAGACAGAGCCTAAATTGTGAAATAAATGATGAGGCCAGAATGCTGCTGTTTTGTGCTCTTGATTAATCTACCTGCACTGAAATTAGTGTATACCTTGCGTTCTTAATTATTTACACGGGGTTTCCATTGAGATGTTGAACTAATAAATTTTCCTGCCTTTACTCCTTCATAGTTAAGGACAATGTCAAGGTTGATTGGCCTAAATTTAACCAACTTTTTCTGTCTAGAAACCCTGTAGAATTCTATATGCAGATATTACAAAAATAACATTGTAGGACTCAAAGTGGTAGCCGTGTTAGTCTGTGTCAGCAAAAACAACGAGGAGTCCTTGTGGCACCTCAGAGACTAACAAATTTATTTGGGCATAAGCTTTCAAAAGTGCCACAAGGACTCCTCGTTGTTTTCATTGTAGGACTGTTTGAATCAAATATGGGTATGTTTATTTTAATTATGAATATAATCAGAAAGGCAGGAGTTCCTGAACTGGAGGAAAGTAAAGAAAAACTGGTAAGCAAACTGATAGTTTTCAGACTTTTTAAAGGTCATTATCAGAGTTAGTTGAAACATTGACAGAACACAAGAAATGAATAGAAATCTGCATTTTTACAGTTTCCAACCAGCTCTAATGCTGGAAAAAAAATCTTAAGTGTAGCATGCAACTTAGCAGGTTAGTCTTGCGTTCCTAGCCATAAATTTAGCTAGACACTTGAGAGGTCCAAAACTATAACTCTCAATCTTTTGGTGTGTTTGCTGTTATAAACCCAGGTAGAGAATAAGCTTTTATAGTGATATTCAGAATGAATTTAAACCATTCAGCTCTGGCCTTTTTCCATGTGCTGGTTTGTCATTTTTACTGACATCTGATCTGGAATTTCTCTTTCATAGTTACTTGTTACTGCTATTATATTGAGGTATATATGACTAACCTGCACTCAGTTTCTGGTCTCTTTACTCAAAATGATTAGTCCCTTATTTTGAGTAATCCCTGCCATTTCAATAGGGGAAACATAATCAGAGTAGGGATATTAGAATCCGACTCTGAGTGCAATCTAAAGTGCAAATTCTATTTTATTGAACAGGTTACATGTATAAAGTCAAACTGTCTAAAATATGATGACATTCTCATGGTATGAATGAAAGTAGCTGATACACAGCATCGACCTCTTAGAAAAAAATTCTCAATTTTGTCACTAATTCCTATAAACATTTGTAACATCTGTGGATATTTAAAGGAAGAATGTAGGTAAGTGAATAAAAATGATCAGACCAAGTGAAACTATTGGGGTTCTAATTAGGGCAAAGGAAGTGATGAAAACAAGAGGCTTCATGAGTACAGCCAAAGGGCTTAGGTAGCAGTAATCGCAAGACAAGTCAGAAAAGTGTGAAGAGAACAGTAGTGCAGATAAGTTTCTACATACCTCATTACACATGCTTCTTACTCTAGAGCAGAGGTCTCCAACGTGGGGTGTGCAAGAGGATCCTGGGGGGTGCGCGGCAGAGGAGCGTGGTGTGTTTTTTCTTTGTGCAGCAGAGGGTGCGTGCTCAATTTTTTTACTGATAGGGGTGCGCGATCAAAAAGGTTTGGAGACCACTGCTCTAGAGCGTAACATTTTTCCCGATCTGTCTGTATAATAATAGCTCGTCTCTTGTATCCACAGCCATTCAGTGTTGTTAGCAATGATTTGTTTCCCTAGAGTTTTACTTCTGCTGAGACCAGAAATGAGTGTTTGATAATAAGCAGTGATTAGACAGGAACCAGTCTCATGGAGTACGTAATTGGCTAACTGGGAGCATAGACACAAGGGCTGTGCAGGCAATCAGAGATCCTGTTATCTAGCAGCACTGACTACTCTTCTTTTCCAGTCAGTTGTTTTTCCTTAAGACTCTCAATGCTCAAAATAACATTTCGGAAAATGAGAAGTATCTTTCACAATCTGCAAGATTGTTCTAAATGGAAGTCTGTTTGTAGTTAGCACTGATTTAACTAAATGGCAATGCTTCACATACATTTTTAATCAAATCATGTGACACCCAAAGATGACACTTTACAGACTTCTAGTACGTCTTTTTCACAAAGAAACTAAATATTCTTTTTCAAAAGAAAATGAAAGGCATGTGTGGCATAAAAAGCTAAATTCATGTACCATAACTTTTGAAAGTAATGAGTGTCATTACTAAGTGTTTTTAAGAACACTTAGTAATATCTCAGCAAGGTAGTGCAGTGTAGCAATGCCTATTCCTCAAGGTTTCATCACATGACAATCTTTAATTCCTAGAGACTCCAGGACAATCCTGGAGAGTTGGCAACCCTGGTCATGTAAGGGTCTGATTTTGGTCTACAGACCAAGATAGGTTCTCTAGTCAAGTATCTCATCTCTCTCTCCCCGCCCCCCATTTATCAAACTGCATAAACTGTGAGGGATGTAAACATTCAAAGATGCTTTAAAATGAGTTATAACAGCTTCATCCAAAACAAGTGGCCTGCTTAACACCACTTATGTCCCATTTTCTTAATTATTCAACAGGGACTAAATGCAACATAAATGACTGCATTAGAATTACAGCAAAGATAAATTCTAATGGCTTGATCCTACAGTCATTACACTCCCATTGAAGTCTAAATTCTGTTTCCAAAGCTATGCAGATGCCTTGTGAATACAGACCGGCTCATTCTCTATTCCATCACCAACATAAGCAGCAATGAAGAAAATGGAAGTTTTGACTGATATGACTAGAGGGCAGTGGCTAAACTGTTTACTGCAATAGTTCACGTCATTGATGAATTTCTAACTCTAGTCATAGAATTGATTAATTTTGTCAACTTTTGCAAATAAAATATTCAGTTAATCATTTCCCCCATTACTCACTCATCTCCAGCAGTAACAGTGTTTGATTCCATGTGGGAAGGGCCTACGTTTTTATTAGATGGCATGATAGAGACAGAGCTTGATTTGTTTCAGTGCACAGATAAGGCAATAGACTACTTAAGACAAAGGTATATAATTGCAGAATGGCAGATTTTCTTTCAGTCAGTTAAAACAAAGTGGGTGCAATACTATTCATTAAAATAAATTTATTTTCACTAAATGGTTAGTGTATGATCGTTCTGTAAATCAAATAGATACTGATGACTGGAAAAAAAAATTTTTTAAATGAATTAAATGGCAAAAATAGGAAAGATTTTTTTCCATTTTACTGTATATAAAAAGCAAGAACTGGATGGGTCGATTTGCCTTGGCAAGAATGACAAACTTTTTAAATACAGAGCCATGCCATATTTACATACATTAATTTAAAAAAAAAAGGAGGTAATGGTCATTTTGGAAAAAGTTGACCCCCATGCATTTTATATTAAAGAATAAAAAATGTCAGTGATAACTCTCTATTATAATATTACTACTACTACTACTTGACCTCATACACTTTAAGGTTTTGGCTACCCCTAAAGTTATTCTGGAAATGTTCTTTGCTTCAGAATGGTTGTGAAATTTTCAACACCTCACAACCCTCCTGATTGCATTTTGTGATGCACAATCCCACCCCTAGAGGTCATGAGCCACTGAGGATGAGAAACACTGCTCTAGCACAGTATAACTATACAACTTTCCACAGAGAAAAGAGTTTCTTCATCTGGGCTGAATGAGCTTACTTAATGTAGTAGTATGAGAGCTTTTATTAAATGTGTACTTCTTGAACAGTTATTGAATTTTTTAATCAGTTAGGCATTTGCCAAATATAAAGACTTACCTATGTTCTCAATGTATTACATTTCCCATTTGCAAAATATTCTTATTTCAGATTAATAATTTAAAACAGCAATACTGCACTTGTAACACCTGTTACTTTAATATCACTTTATAGCATAGGACAAAAAAATGCAGTTGGTTAGTTGCTTTGGTTTTTGAAAGGTTATGAACTGACAGCCCTGGAGACTGGAAACATGTTTTCATGAGAGAGGTACAGAATGGGGAGCAGAAAGCTTCCCCACACAGTCCCATCAGTGAGCCTGAACATTGACCTTATCTTCAGGCTCAAAAAAAGTACATTGGTCTCCATGTCTCTTCAGTCCTTGGTCTCTCTACCAAGACTGCAACAAGCTCAGAATTGGTGCCAATTACAGTGTGAACAATTGTCCACTAGGAATGGGACTGAGACCAACTCATTTTACATAGATCATTTAACTGCTTTCAGATCGTGGTAACTTGATACAGCTTAAATTAGAAAAAATAAATCAATGCTAGCTTCTTAAGCACAAACTTTCCTTTTCAGATATCATTTTCTTATATTAATGTCCTAGGTATTTTGTATGTCTGCCTTGTGCTACGAACTTTCCTGTTGCCTTGTTTGTTACATCCACGCTGGCAAAGGCAAGCCTTCTTCCTTGTTTCAAAATCTGAGCAGTGATCAATATCTCTTCCCCAATCTTAGCAGCAGACATGTATCTTGAATAAAAAACAGAACAATCGTTTTATACAACAATATGCTACAACTCAGGGAACATTCATGTGTTTAAAATAATTTTTTGAAGGAGCTACCAGAGTCAGTTTGCAGTTAACCCGTTGCACCTTTTCACAAGCCTGAATCTTGCAGCTTCTCCTCGGGCAGAGTTCACGCTAATGTTCCCACTGAAATTCCATACATGAGAAGATTATAGAATTTGGACTTTGTTACCTAAAGATAACTAAGGCATTAAACCAAACGTAATAAAAGAGGGAGCTTAAAGAACATTAGACTGCCTCAAATTAGTGTCTCGACCACTTGAGGATATTCCCAAACAGGATCTATACTGAGTTTATTAGAAGTTGTTCTTTCAGACTGCAGTTTGTCACTAAAGTGGTAGCTAGACCATGGAAGAGAAACTTAGCAGAATCCAGGCCCTGTTAGTAGAACACATGAAACATTAAGATTTAACATTTGACAGTAAGCATGTTCAATACATACGTAATGTTCATATCCACACTGACCCCAGGCATTCCTCTTTCTGTGTACAACAATGCTGCTGTTGACACTACGTCTACCAGTGTGGCAGTCAAACCTCCATGCAACGTGCCACCTCTGTTTGTGTGCTCCTCCTCTATTTTCATTTCACAAACAACCTTTCCAGGAGTTGCAGAAAGAACTGTCATCTGAACAAACAGAAATGAGAAACAAAATTCTATTAATTCAAAATCTCAATAAGGGGAAACATACGGACAATTACAAGTCTAGTGATTGCTCTCAAAGTAAACAGATCAACTTGAAAGTAAATCTTGGTTCAGTTTTTAGACTAATGAGGGGAGGAGAAAAATAAAGAACTAAAACATTATGGTTTAAGTGTCAGTCAAGTCAGATGTTTCTATAAATCTCCAGTTGCAAATTGTTTCCCTAGGGAAATATATACCTCCTATAAAAACAAATATGCACACTGTATGCAGTGTTGGGGTGCCATGTCGGTTCCAGGATATTGAAGAGACAAGATGGGTGAGTAATGGCTTTTACTGGACCAACTTCACCTAAAGAAGAGCTCTGTGTAGACTCAAAAGCTTGTCTCTCTCGCCAACAAAAGTTGATTCAATAAAAGATATTACCTCACCCATCTTGTGTCTCAAATATGCACTCCGTCAGTTTATTGTAATCATCTTGAGCTTTCAGTAGTTGTTTGAGACAAACTCTGCTGAACTCTTATTAAAAATGGAAAGTTGACTTGTCTGACTTTATACCTGACATAAAGCTAATGGAAAGTTACTACTAAGTGTTTGCTTTGATTTTTCCCCACATGACATTGTTGGCTAGCACAGTTGCTCAGCCTCTTGTTGACAGAATGAGAATCAGCAACACGTGAGTAATCCTTAAAGTGAAGCAATGTCAGTTAATATTTAAATAATGGAACTAAATCAGTATTTTGAAAGGAATACTTTGAAATGTTAGCCCAACATATTCAAGGCTTCACCACAGGAAAATTTGCTACTATAATTACACTAGTATAACTCCCTGTGTTGAACTCTTATTCTGAGAATAAAAATGCCCACATGGGAAGATATTGAGTAACTATAGCAGAATAATTATGTGGGTAAATTTCCCCATGCAGACAAGCGCCAGGAGGAGAGTTAATTGATTCTAATGCCTAGAAGTTGTTAATCTACAGCATTTAAAATACATTCCCCTAATTCCAGTTGGAACAACTGAAAGTTTTGCATATTTCAAAGTGAGAACAATAGACATAAGGTGCCCCACAAAACTGGAAAAAGTAGTTTCTGTAACTATATTCATCCCTGCAAAATTATTTTTTAAATAGATCATTCAAAGTGGCTTTAGGATGAAATGTCATAGAGGTGGAAATATTAAGTTATTTCAGTAAGAGATTCTTACTATATATTTGGAAGTAGTAATATTTTACTAAAGATGGCATATGTATGTCCTATTTTTGAGGAATATATTCATAACATTATCAGTTCACTATTGATTGGTATCACCGAAACAGATTTTAAAAAAACCCTAAAATGGAGTCCAAAGGTACATCTGTATTAGAAACATTACAGTGGTGTAGGCGCACCACAGTAGAGAAGACATTTAACTACAGCCACTGAAGGAGTTCTTTTGTTGCCGTAGTAAATCCACCTCTCTGAGAGAAAAATTCTTCCATCAATCTAGCACTGTCTACACTGGGAATTAGGCCGGTTTAACAATGTCTCTCAGGGTGTGAATTTTTTACACCTCTGATCGGCATAGCTAGGTCAACCTAAATTTTAGATGTAGACCAGGCCTCAGCTACTGCTATAAAGCCCCTTTTTACAAAACAGAGAGGTATTATAGCTATTGTGAAATAACATTTTAAACAACCTCTCCTGTGTTATCACCTAGTCTGAGGAGAAGAATACTGATTATTAAAAATCCTAACCTGAACAATCCAAACCATCTGTTGCTCCTGACCTTTACAAAAGCCTCAGAGAACAACATATTTTGGAAAGTCAGGGTTCTAGAAAAACAATTTTACTTTCAGTACAAATGTCAGATGGAGGCCTAAATACAAATTCTGGATATCACGGGATCAGACATCGGGTGTTTAGAAAGTCAGGATTCTGTCTAAACATTTCATTGCATTCCACCCCTTTTTCTGTATACTGGCTAATCAGGACTAGATCCTACAAACCCTTATTCGCAAGAGTAGGCCTAAATCATGCAACTGGTCCCACTGAAGTCTCATCTGAGGAAGCAGTACTCATGTGAGAGCTTGCAGGATCATACTCTTTGGCCTTGATTTTGCAATTGCATCTCCTAGAATGGACAGCCCTCTTCCACAACCCTATGGATTTAAATTGAGAAGATCCAACTAGGATTTTAGTTTGTAAGCCTCTCAAGACAGTGACTGTGTGCTGCATATATATAGGCTTAGAACAGTGGTTTTCAACCTTTTTTCATTCGTGGACCTCTAAAAAAATTTCAAATGGAGGTACAGACCCCTTTAGAAATTTTAGACATAGTCTGCAGACCACAGGTTTTAAAACACTGTTCTATATTAACACCAACCTTTCGCTGACTCCTTAGACATAGGGTATGTCTTCACTACCCGTCGAATCGGCGGGTAGTAATCGATCTATCGGGGATTGATTTATCGCGTCTCGTCTAGATGCGATAAATCGATCCCCGAACGCGCTCCCCGTCGACTCCGGAACTCCACCAGGGCGAGAGGTGGAAGCGGAGTCGATGGGGGAGCCGCGGCCATCGATCCCGTGCCGTGAGGACGGGAGGTAAGTCGATCTAAGATACGTCGACTTCAGCTATGCTATTCTCGTAGCTGAAGTTGCGTATCTTAGATTGATTCCCCCCTCCCCCCAGTGTAGACCAGCCCATAGTCTATAGACCCACAAGGGTCTATAGACCACAGGTTCAAACCCACTAACTTGGATGGATTGGATTTTTACTGATAAAATATTTCCATCCATAATAATCAAAATTTACAGATAAATAAAGCAAGAAAAATGCTGCTAGAGAATTTAAGAGTATGATTTCAGGTTATTTACTTTCCATACTTTGACATGTTTTGTTGACATGAGCTTTAACTTTTTGAATCTCAACAGCTACATTAAATAATCATTGTTTAACCACCCCCGTAATTCCCCACAACTGTGAAAATTTAAATATAGAAAGATGCTTTAAAATAAAGATTAATACTATCCATCAAAATTATACAAAAAAAATCAAATTCTGCCAAACCTACAAATCTATATCCATATCTACACACAAATTGCTGATACACTTTGGAGGATGCACTCCTCATATAACAAGTGCTAGGCAACTGCCAAGCATCAATCCTACCTACAACTATACCTTACTCAACACCCGATCAAAGTTGGATGAGCTCAGCAGGCTGTTCATCATCTCCCGGAAGGAGTGGATCGTGAGGGAGCTCATGGTTTAAAGACTGGTTGCGACGTCCTTTTTCCGCAGAGTGACCGGCGTGGGACACCTGCTCCTACCAGCTGGGAAGAGTCCCCTGGAACCGGGAGCACCTAGTGAGTTCCGTGGGGCTGGGAGCAGCTGCAGCAACAAGAGGCCGGGTGACCTCCAATACACGCAGCGATTCACCACGTTCCACAGGCCGAACGTTCGCGGCCCTTGTTCCCACCTTCACGGAGGTCACGCGCGCGCGCCCCCCGCTGGGCTCGTGGGACCCCGTGGGGCGGGGCTTGAGCTCGCTGCCCCCCTCACCCCCCAACGCCGAGCTCGGAACGTGCGTCTGCTAGCAGGGCCGTTGGGATTGGGTGCGTGCTGCGCAGGCGCGTTGCTTGGAGGCGGCCGGGAGGCCGGTGGAGGGCAGGACGCGGGGCCATGGAGGGGGGGAGCGCAGCGGAGGGGCTGCTGGAGCAGCGGCCCGAGGAGGAGAGGAGTCTGCAGCCGGAGCCGCCCCAGGAGGAGGCGGAGGCGGAGGCGCTGCCCGGGCCCCAGGCGGAGGAAGAGGCGGAGGGGGAGACGCTGCCCCTGGCGAAGCGTAGGAAGCTCCTGTGCGCCGAGTTCGCCTCCATCACCAGCAGCGACCTGGCCCTGGCTCGCTGCTGCCTGGCGGACAACGACTGGCACATGCAGGTGGGGCCCGGGCCGGGCGCGGGACGGGCTGGGGGCTGCCGCTGCGCCGGGCCCTGACTCCCGCTCCTTTGCTTTCCAGAGGGCGCTGAACTCCTACTTCGAGCCGCCCGTGGACCAGCGAGACGAGGGCGGGAGGCCCCCGGCCCGCGCCCCGCCGGAGACCTGGTGAGCCAGGCCGCGGGGGCGGGGACTCAAGCTCGCAGGGAAGGCGGCACTGGCAGCCGCGCCCCGGCCCAGCACCCACCTCATCTGCCTCGCTCCCCGAGTCCCCCCCTTGGCCAGCGCCTTGCAGCTGCAGGGCGGGCTCCGCGGCCAGGCTCTGCTTCGCTAGCGTTGCTGATGCTGCTCGTCCCCCGCCGTGAAGCCCCTTCCCAAAGGCGAGGCGCGTCTCAAAATCCACCCCCGTGTGAGGCTCGCAGGCTCTGATTGACCCCCGTGCATCGTGTGTCTGTGTCTATCAGTGAGCTGCCTGCCCCCAAGTCCGGTTTGTTTCATATATCCCTGCACAACAGCATATGTGCGGACTCCACTAGAATCATAGAATATCAGGGTTGGAAGAGACCTCAGGAGGGCATCTAGTCCAACCCCCTGCTCAAAGCAGGACTAACACCAACTAAATCATCCCAGCCAGGGCTTTGTCAAGCCTGACCTTAAAAACCTCTAAGGAAGGAGATTCCACCACCTCCCTAGGTAACCCATTCCAGTGCTTCACCATCCTCCTAGTGAAACAGTTGTGTTAAGATGGTTTCCACCAGCTTAACTTAAATCACAATCAAGCCCTTTAAAAAACCAAAAACATTAATTACAGCTACATACTAAACACACTTCAGTGGTTTGAGCATTGGCCTGCTAAACCCAGGGTTGTGAGTTCAATCCTTGAGGGGGCCATTTAGGAAACGGGGGTAAAAATCTGTCTAGGGATTGGTCCTGCTTTGAGTGGGGGGTTGGACTAGATGACCTCCTGAGGTCCCTTCCAACCCTGATATTCTATGGTTCTATGATTGACGCATATGTTTTCAGTCAGTGTATTTAATTTAGATGTTTTTAAATTAGAGATTAATTCATGTTAATTTTTGCAGTATGTTCAATAATTGGTTTTTAGTTGGGGAGGTCTAAAAATGTCTTGCTTTAGAAGATGGAAGTTACTGCAGGGGAATGCTCTGTTTACTGAAAGCAACATTTTAAATATTCTTTCTAGCATTGACTTGACTGCTGATGTTACTACTAGTAGTGCTGGAGTCAACAACGCAGACTGCAGGCAACAAGAAGACGACAGCAGGTTCTCTTTACTTACCTGGAATATTGATGGTCTGGATCTAGGAAATCAACAAGACAGAGCTAGAGGAGTCTGCTCTTATTTAGCATTGTAAGTATTGTTATCTCCTTTATAAGTCAGTTTAATATTTGGACTCTGAAGTGTCGTATCTTATTTGAAGTATCTATAGAATATATGCCCCCAAAGTATCCAAGCACCAAATACAGATATACTATAATACAGAAATTTGATAATGTGTGTAATCCTAAACTAGTTTGACTAGAAGCTGTAATTTGGTTGGCCAAAAGAGGTTCTGAACCTAATTTCCCAAAATATGCAGGCTTTGGTACTAAAAGCCTTTTTGCTAGCTAGTCACTGTAACATATAACTTTTTTAAAATAAGCATAATTGATATTAAATGTCTAGCTATAGTAATGAGTCAGGAGGTTGTGGGATTGAAATAATAGATTATAACGTCAGGAAATGCAAATGCTGTGCTTCCCGTGACAGTATTAACTTGACCATGTTGCACAACTTGCATTATTTTATGGTGTGTAGTCTAAAGCCTGGTCTACACTACCCCCCCACTTCAGACTAAGGTACGCAAATTCAGCTACGTTAATAACGTAGCTGAATTCGAAGTACCTTAGTCCGAACTTACCGCGGGTCCAGACGCGGCAGGAAGGCTCCCCCGTCGATGCCGCGTACTCCTCTCGCCGAGCTGGAGTACCGGCGTCGACGGCGAGCACTTCTGGGATCGATCCGGGGCACTTCCGGGATCGATTTATCGCGTCTTAACCAGACGCGATAAATCGATCCCAGAACATCGATTGCCTGCCGCCGGACCCTCCGGTAAGTGTAGACGTACCCTAAGACAAAGCATAAAAAGGTCACTCACAAAAAGAAAAACAGGAATACAAAATCCTGATTACATATAAAGTGGCTGAGTTGACATTACTGTTCTCTTGTTTCCATATTACTTGTAATTTGAACTGTGCAATCTGAACATGAAACATGGGGGTTGCATTTATTTTCCATATTCTTTTAAAAATGTTAGCAGCTAAATAGTCCCATTGCATTGGAGAAAATTTTTCTTTGCTGAGGTGAGTGGGGTTGGGAACAGGGAGTTCCCACCTTAAAAATGCTGCTGTTCAACAGTCTTCAGTTGGTCTATTGTGATGGCTTTGCAGTGGATAACTTTAGAACCATTTGTGTAAAATGAAAACCTAAAATTTGCAGGATAGGTAGAATGCAGTAAAAATTGTGAAGACACACTAAAACTGCAGAGTTGTTGACTATTTTTAGTTAAATCTGTGCTAACTCGTAAAATGGATGGATTACACTCACATAGGTGTAATCCTTGCCTATATTGGTTTAGCTTAATATTGTAATTTAGCAGTGCAAACTAAACCAATTAAAACAAATTAACCCTTTAGATACATTTAAATTGATTTATCAGCTCAGTTTTAAATGGATAACTAAACTGGTGCAATTTTTCGTGGATAGACAAGGCCCTGTTTTCCCTTCATGCAAATTATCCCAGTACCAAACCCCGTACCTGCTTGGAGCATGTTTACATAAAAATAGTGACAGGCTGCTTCCTGTGTCCTGTCTACATGAATGCTCCCAGTGTTGCTAGTAACAAGAGAGCCACCGATAGTAGTGCAACAGAAGGAGATTTAAAAAAAAAGGTCTAGTGTAGACAAGGCTAAGGAGAGCAATTGCCCTTTACCTGTCAGTCTGGACTGGGAGATTGGGTGTTGATATCACAAAGGTGATGGGTGTTAATTGGACTCTCCTAGAAATCTTAGGTCTTCTAAATATGCTCTGAAGCTATATTTTCAGTCACTAACTGAAATTCCCCCACGTGCATAAAATTAGACAGATGCTGCGAGATCCAGATCTACGTGAGAAAATGAGGCCCACTTATTAGTAACTTGTTGGTAAAATACAGATTTGAATCTTATTTTTTCCCTCCAAATATGGTGGCATGTTTACATGCCAACAAACGTGACAGAGCTTCTTTGGAAACCATCGTAGCCACTTCACATGTTTAAAAAAACCAGCCCTACACCCAGAACCTTACTCTTTACATTTGTCATTACAATGCAAAAAACTGAGTCTGCTTTAAAAGTTGTATTGTAAACTTGTCTTGCTGATTTCAGATACAGTCCAGATGTGGTGTTTTTACAGGAGGTTGTTCCACCATACTTGAGTTACCTACAGAAGAGAGCAGTCAGTTACACAATCATTCCAGGTAAAAAAAGGAAGGCCTAAAAAATTGAGAAATCTGCTTCAAATGGATAGAAGAAGCAAGAAATGTTATTGTTTTCTACTCACTAGCTTCTTAATACCCCTCTGACCATTGGTAGAAGCGAAAAGGAAAAAAAGAAGGGGAAAGAATCAGTGAAATGGATTTCCTTGGCTTCTAAATTCTGGAATCTAGTTTGATGCAAATTATAAATGAATATATTAACTGTCACTTTCTTCTGGCTTTTTTTCTTTTAGAAAGGCAGATTTTAAGTTTAAGGACAGAGTCAAAATTAATTCATTTTTTCCGATCCTTTACTATTAATGAAAATAGCTACATGTATGGATTAGGATAAGAAATGTGCACCCTGAAAAGATCTCTGTGAAAAGATCTCTGTGAAAATATATAATTCTTCTGTATGAAGGGATGGATGAATACAGTGCATGCAGCACTGAACTTTTCTTTCATTTCCTTATTCCTCTTTAGGTAATATAGATGGTTATTTCACTGCCATAATGCTGAAAAAATCAAGAGTGAAGTTTTTAAGGCAAGAAATAATACCTTTCCCAACAACTTCCATGATGAGAAATCTATTAGTTGTGCATGTAAGTGGGTCACTATATGTTACAAAGCAGTTGAATGTCTAATTTAAGGGGACAAATCTTTGTTAGTCTGGAGTTAAGGTTGTAAATATGGGTACTAAATCTGAAGGGAAAAAGCATCAACAGGACATTATAATTTAAGAGAAAAGATAACATGAAAAGTAGGACAGTTAGATTTGAAGTCTCCAATAAAAACACTAAAAGGATGCATCAAACAATTTTAACTGTACTCTTACGCAAACCCATGCTCTTAACAAATCATGCTACCCCCAACAAATGTGTATTATATAGGTCACATTACTCCATTTTCCTGTACCATTCTCAACCC